TAACGACTGAGCCACCCAGGCGCCCCCATTTCCTACTATTTCTTGATGGTACTTTCCAGGGAAATTACTTAGATCAAAATTTATAAACGCGGGAAGGACGCCACAGCCACAGCTGCTTCCAAGTCTGCGCCAATTAATACTCTGTCCAGGCGTCCTTCTATCTTTCTGCATTTCCTCAGTTAAGCTGTAGTTTTATTATTGGTTATTAAGATTATTACGTAGTAAAGATATTATCAAGGTATCTGAATTTTTATGTTATTATGAATAAATCACCGTGTTTTCCAAATGGTTTTTGGAAATAAAGCTTTTGACCTGCTTACTGTCACTTCAAACCCATTTTACTAAGGTCTTATTAATTAAAATGCTGTTTTGGAGGAGTTTTAGTTATATAATCTGTCACATAATACTTTTATTTTCTCATTTCTAATAGTTATACTTTTTTACACTGTTAAATCATAATGGTGATATGGACATATTTATATTGATTGTGCTGTAATTAGAATGTTCTCAGAGTTTCATTGTTACAAATTATGTTTTATGTTGGTTTGAGATATTTACTTATTTGTTCAAAGAATACTTATGTTTATTGAGTACCTACTAAAACCAAGGACATAATGGTGAGAAAAAAATGGATAAAATTCCTACTTTCAAGAAGTTTATATAGTCTAGTAAGAAACAAAGACATCAAAGAATCATAGGACAAAATTATAAAATTATAATAATTCACTGTGCAAAGTATACGGAAAGACTGGTAGTTCTGTAACATAATAAATATGTATATATACAAACACACACGTGTGTGTATGTGGAGGGGTAGAAAGGGTTAACTCGGCGGGCCAGCTTGCTCACACCTTGCACATTCCCTAGAAGGGCCTGTTTCTGTGACAAAGGTTCTCTAGGTTGGCTTCTGAGAACTCACTCTTGAAATGTTCTGATACAGTTCCTCCCATGCTGAGGGTCCTGCTGCATGGGAGTTTCTGTGAACATGAGGATGAATACCCGCTTTTCCTCAGAGGGTCTGGAGCTTCAGTGACTGAGATCAGTCACACAGGCATTACATTCCCATACGACAGACCCCTTTTCGAACCCTGAACTCCCGGGTCAGGCTAGCCCGGCACGGATTGTCACACATGAAATCAAGCATGTTATCTACGACTCCGTGAGGAGCAGCTTCTTGGAAACTCCCGCCTGGTTTCCTCTGGCCTTTGCCTCATGCTCTCTCTCCCTCTGCTGCTCTAATAGATTGTAACCAAGGGTCTAACAATTGTGAGGCTTCCTGAGTCTCTTTAGCATATCACTGAGCCTGAGGCTGATCCTGGGGCTCCTCAATACAATGCCTATATGAAAACACCTTCTAATCTGGGTAGTTGAGGTCAGCTTCTCTCAGGAAGTACTGTTTGGAGCAAAACCTGAAGAAAGAGTGGGAGTTGACTGGATAGAGAGGGGAAACATTGCTTCCCTGGCAAAAGAGAGAAGGGAAAGTGGTGAGAGGAGTACTTCACAGTCTAAGAAATGAAAGGAAGGAGAAGGCCACTGACAGCCTCACAGGCCACACTGAGGATGGGACGGCACCCTCGCTGCAAGCAGGGGTGAGGTGAGCAGACTCCCAGTTTCCACAGGTGGTAGCATAGACCAGAACGCTTGGAGGCCCCTGTAAGCTGGCCAGGCAAGGTTCTCACGATAGTAGGTTGTATTCTTACATTCCTCAGATTTTAATTATTTGATGTTTTGTTGCTGTTGTTCATGGGGTTACTTGGTTGTTCGTGTGTTTGTTTTTTTAACGCTGGAAAGGATCCTGAAGGAGTGAGCTCTTGAGAGGAAATGCAGAGAACAGGAAGAGGGGGAGAAAAGATATGAGAATGAGAGGGGGATGAGTCCGTATTTTTACTTTTCTTTTGAGTTCTGCAACCTCTTTCAAAATGCTTAAATTTATTTGAAAGTCTGCCAATATTTGGTTTTATATTAAGTCTTAAATCTAAAGGTTTTAAAAACAAGGAATTACATGAGCACTTACCATTACAGAAGAATGCCTAATATCTAATGCATAGGTATGGTCCAAAACATGTGAGTTTAATTTTAAAAATTTGCTAATATCTTCTTTGTTGATCCCAAGATTGCGGAGGCCATTCATCATTTTTCCTTCTAGTTTCAGCATATCCAAAAGACTTTTAAAGAAAAAAAATAAGTTTTATTTTGATTTGCCAAATTAAAAAAAAAAAACCTTTAAAGTTTATAGCTTTCTTAAAGCATTAGAAATGAATTCCACTGGTATTTTTATTAACAGCAGGAAAAAATATTATTAAACTCATTAACAAACAAGACAAGGAGTTCTAATTAGTTACCTAGGGTAAACTCATGTTGACTTTTTTGTGTGTGGTGACAAAATCTTGTTATTTAAAAGGTAAGGCAACAAGGTATATTTATTACATTCTTTAGCAAAGAAGTGAAAATATGCTCACCCCTGAGTGAGCCAAAAATGAAGGGAAAAATATCCTAGGTCACTATTTTGGTAAATCTACTATGAAAACAAGGGAAGCTCAAATAGGACCTAAAATATAAAATTTTAGCACAGAAAAAGAGCCATTAAAGCATGAAAGTTCACATCTGTTTGAAATACATATAAAAATTTCTAATCATATATATAATACTCTGAGAGCTTTTAAACATGACAGAAAATATTACTGCTAAAAAATAACAACATCAATAAATAACCCTACTGGCAAAAAGTCTGGGCAGTTTGAGTCTTTAAACGCCTACTGATCAAGCTCCCACATGTGCCAGGTAAGTGCCACGTTCTTTCCAAACAGAGCGCCTCTCACAACTCCTCAGAAGTCCCAAGTGGTGCAGGTGAGGCCCAGACAGGTGGTCTCCCGCCCAGGTCCCGCAGCTGGTGCACAGAATGGGGATATGAAAGTTGTGGGAAGACAGTGCCTCCCTGTAGCTGTAAAGATAAGGCTTTACCAATTGTGGTAAAGTGTGCTTATGTTTGAAAAGGTAAAACTTTACCAGGCAAGAAAGAACTTTATTACTTTTTGAAACCAAGTGTTAAAATTCAGATTTATAATATTAACCTAACTGCTTCCTTAAAAAAACCCAATCATGGAAATCACTTCGCTTTTCAGAAATGAACAGAATCAGAATAAAGCAATATATGGATTTTAGAATACCATTCTCAGGGAGGTCTATAGAGATCTACACTTATTTTTATTTTTAAAGATTTTACTTTATTTAGGGGCACGTGGGTGGCTCAGTCAGTTAAGCATCTGCCTTCGGCTCATCTCCCTCTCCCTCTGTCTGCAACTCCCCTTGCTTGAGCTCTATCAAATGAATAAATAAATCCTAAAAAAAAAAGATTTTATTTATTTGAGAGGGAGAGAGACAGAGATAGCAACAGAGATAGCAAGAGAGTAGGAGTGGGGAGGAAAGGGAGAATCGCGTGGGCTCGATCCCAAGACCCTGGGATCATGACCTGAGCCCAAGGCAGATGCTTAACTGACTGAGCCACCCAGGTGCCCCTAGAGATCTATATTTAAAAAGTAAAGATCTAATAGCTGAACTCTTACAAAAGCAGTTTGTTGTTGTTTTTTTTTTAAGTATTTCAAGTTGGCCTGGAGGACTTACCTCTGAACATCTGTATCCTAAGCAGTTCTAACCACTGCTTTACAAAGCACGCTTTTTAGCCTCCCCTCCCATCTATTAGAGGATGAGTGTGGTAGAGACAGCACTAGCTTAGATACCACAAATCACCCTTCTAATAATAAGATTTAGCTACTTCACGTGTGGCTTCTTGAAGTTCTTAACCCCTTTAGTCTAAATTCTCTTATTTGTAAAATAAGAATTCTGGATTGCATTGCCAATGTTTTCTCCATTTTTAAAATTTTATGATGCTTACTGATCAGACACTTTTTTGGAGCAACAGAACTTTAATAGTCTCCATAGCTTTTGTATCTACCATCTTTGTAATCTCAATCTAGTTTCCAAGAAAAACCATCAATAGAAAGACCAGATCGAGTTACGGGGTACACTGGAAAGAGCATGAGATTTTAAATCCTGCTACTATTTGCCAGCTGTGTCCCTATCTTTGTGTGACATTTGAGTCTTCATTTCCCTGTCTAAAAAAGAGAATGGTGATAATCACTTTATAAGGCATTAAGATTAAATTAATTCCCTACTGGGCACACAGTTGCCCTCAATAAGCATGTTTCTTCCTTGCTCTTTTCAAATCTTGAATTTTGGCTACCAATTAAAAAAAATGGTTCTTTAAATGTGCTAGGTCTGTTTATCAGGAAAACTCCTTATATCTCTGGAGTTTGAAACAATATAATTTATCATGCTTCTCTTTTAAATAGTTACTATCTTTAGATTTGCTCAGAGCCCTTCACTGGCTTCTCCTGCCCTAGAGAGGGAAGGTGAAAATCCGAAACCTGGTTGCACAATCTGCCCCTTGCCCACCTGTGTGACCTCAGCTTCTTCTGGCTCCTCCTCACTCCACAGCCTGGCCACAGGAGTGGATTTTCCTTTTCTCAAATGTGTCACTGCTTGCAGAACCCCCACCCCCCACTTTGCCTGATCTGTCCTTTAAGTGTTAGCTTAAATGATCACTTCCTTGAAGAAATCTGACATTTCTACTGTCCCCATGTTCCACCAAGAACTAGTTTAAATCTCTGGAGTTATATACTCCCAGAGCACTGCACTTTATCTTTTGTAAACTTACTGCACTATCATTATATATTTACTATCAGTTATCCCACTAGACCACTTATTTCTGTCTTCTTCACCACTACACCCCCAATATCTACCAGTTTCTATAGCATAGTAGGCACTCAGATATTCACTGGATTCAATTTTAATATTGATTTTATAATACTGAATTTTAATGTTACAGGCATTACAAATACATATTTAATCAAGAGCCCCAAAGGATTCTGAGCCAGACAACTTCATTAAGATACAGAGAAAAACCACCCAAGTAGGGATATCAAGACACCTTTGTTATGTCTTTCTTTCTGGTAGGTATGCTGTGGGGACACAGCTCAAGCAGAACAGGTTGGCTATCAAAATGATTTCTTTTTTTTTTTTTTTTTTGGCTATCAAAATGATTAACATCCACTATGTACCAGTTTGTCTGCTCAAATCTGTGGTTGAGGTGATTGCTTAGAGAAAAAGATGTGTCAGTGGTTCTAAGGTAGAGATGTGAGACACCATTTATGGACCTCCTCAAATTTACTCAGCCCTACCTGCCTTCCTCCCTGGCCGTGGCCTTCTGCAGCTAACCTCCCCGGGGGATGAGAGCCAGGCTTGGACCAGGCCTTGACTCAACCAGTGCCGACCGGCTGGGCCCACCGAGGCTCGGGCCCCTCCCACTACTTCCAGGGTCCGAAGGCAAGGACTGCATCAGTCTTCTACAACCCACAATGCAGGGAGAGATGGGCAGTAGGAAAGAAGTGTAAAATAATTCCTCACTCCCGTTCTTTCCCCAAACGGGTAATTCTGCAATACTAGTCACAGGGGACCTCTCTCTGGATCTAGGATATAACCTCAGGAACATGACATTTTCCTTCCTTCTCCTCTTTCCTGAATCATTCTCTTCCAGGATCCACACTGATTTTTATTCTCCATGTTCTGATTTCTTTCTGGGAATTTATTTTGTGCTAAAAATGTTAGAAGATATAAACATCCTCACATCTTTTCGTGTCCTCCTTGAAGGGCCTCAGAGGAGATGCAGCTAGTGATCACATCAGTGAGGAACAGAATGTGTCACAAGTTGCACAGATCACTACCCACCAGCTGCAGGAGCTAAGGGGGCTGTATTTCCTGAATAACCTGCAGCCTTTCTAAATAACTGGGCAAAGTGTTCCTGCTATGAAAACCTTCCCAAAATCTACCCACCACTTACTCCCTCTCTTAAACCCGTTTTCACCATTCCTGAGCACAGATGGAATTTCTGTCCTGCTGAGGCTTGCAGGCCAGCAGCTAACAACCGCTTTACTCCTGCTGTGGATAGTGCTTACCCGAAGTATCTTAGCTATCATTTTCCCCAAGGATCCAACTAAATAAAGAGAAAAGCCTCATTTGGGCTACTGTATTTCTCAGCCTTTCGTACATTTTCCTACTCTTCCCAAACTGGTAAGAAAAGGAAATAAACATTTAATCAATTGAAGTTCAATGGAAGTATATTCAATTGAATTAAAATTGAATATCTGAACTAAAGTATTGTGTTTACTAAATTTATCTTATAAATATGAATTTTTAAAGTAGTTTTATGCTTCTCTTTAAAAGTAAAATAAATTCAGTTTGGTTTTTCTTCTATTTGGCCCATGATTAATTTGTGGATCAATGCTCATGACAAATACAAGACTTTCTAATTTTGCCCTACAGCATTTTTTTTTAAACATTTTATTTGCGGAGGGGGGGACACACGAGCAGTGGGATGCGCAGAGGGAGAGGAAGAAGCAGGCTCCCTGCTGAGCAGGGAGACCAACATGGGGCTCGATCCCAGGACCCCGAAATCCGGACCTGAGCCAAAGGCAGACACTTAACCGAATGAACCACCCAGCTGCCCCTGCTCTACAGCATTTTTTAATAATTTTTTTTGACCTACGAAAATACACAACACCCTGAGTTCTACAATTTCAAATTTCCTTTCTGACAAATACAAGTACTTTAAACTCTTTCTGTTAATTCCATTCTTCTGGGAAAATGTCCTGTGCTCCTTTCAATTCCTTTCTGGAGGGTAGAGTCCCTGGCTGCTCAGTGCAGTCCCATGGAACTTCCCTGCTAAAGGACAGACCTACTAAGGAAAGACAGTTTCCAAAAATGTGACAAGTACAGGCGCAAGGTTTAGAAACTTCAGTTTTCACATCTGAGCAAATGTCTCCAAGGTCTCTCCCAGGTCTGCATCCTAAGACATTTGAGAGTATTCTAGCAAAATAATAGAATTGTTTTGCACAAAAACATGTCTTTGCTTTACCTTTAAAGTGATTATTTGCATTTTGGCAAATACTAAATATTTTCCCTTATATAAATCACAGTTCATATTAATATAAACTAATATACAGTTTTGTATTAGTAATTTAATACTTACCTAAAAGGATCATAAGCACTCATATCAACACGAAGTCCATTTATGAACAGACAAGCATCACCTGGCTGAATTTCAAATCTATCATGAAGACCCTTGAAATAGAGCAGGGTAATAGTCAACCAAGTCATAGAACAACAGCACGATCTATGCCAGGAATCGGCAAACTTTCTACAGAGTTATACAGTAAATATTTTAGGCTCTGCTGGCCATGTCATCTCTGTTGCAACCACTCAACTCTGTTCTGTAGCACAGAAGCAGCCACACAACATGTAAACCAACGGGCATGACTGTGTTCCAAGGGAACTTGTATTTAAGAAAAGAGGCGGCAGGCCAGATTCGGCCTATACGTGGCTAGTAGCCTGCCTACCCCTAAGCTAAGTGATGGAAAGCTCATGATAGGTTAGAGACACAAATACCTGAATATTTTGATTCTGCAATATATATTAAAGTTCTAATTCTAGGGCAATTACTTACCTAATATATCTTACAACATGTGTGTGCATGTAGGCGCATGCACACTTAGAATTTGATAGGTGCCACACTCCTAGTCTTTAATATCCCAAGACTCAAAACTTTGGTGTATTTGTAAACATCTGTTGGAGATCACTCTAAATTCATAAAGGTGAAACACATAATGCAGTGTTTCAATGTTCATCTTTTTTTCATTCAGTAGATGTTCCCTGAGCACCTGCTTTGAGCTAGAAACCAATCCAGGCACTAGGGCAGTAACAAAAGTAAAGAATGTAATGTTCTTGCCAGTACAGAATAGTTATTAAGATAGTGGTGAGGGGGGGTCATATCAACTTTAAATCCTAGTCTTGCTATTTAGTCTTGGAAGAGTTGGACAAAGTTACTTTGCTTCCATATGTCTCCATTTCCTCATCTGGAAAATGGAGTACTTACTTCTATCTCACAGGTAATAAAGTATAAATGTGATATATATCTGTGTCTGGTCACAAAGGCAGCACTCACAAGTGAAGCTTTTATTACTATTATTATTAGGGCAGGCAAATTCATTTAAAAGGAAAAACAACTTCAAAACAGTACATTTCAGTGATGCCACATGCTAAGTGACCTAACAGAAGTTAGTTTAGGGGCGCCTGGGTGGCTCAGTTGGTTAAGCGACTGCCTTCGGCTCAGGTCATGATCCTGGAGTCCCGGGATCGAGTCCCGCATCGGGCTCCCTGCT